ATATATAGAGAGAGAGAGAGAGAGAGAGAGAGAGATCCTTTTTGTTCAAACTAGGGAAAAAAACTCCTTTTGTTTTTTAGTACCAGTTTTAATTAAATGCAAAAAGAACGAGCAATTTTGTGTTTATTACTAAACAACTTTTTATAGAGTTTAAATATTAATTATTTTTTTAACTTTAATAATTAAATTAAAAATTACGACATACTTAATTATCATTCTTTATGTCAACCCTCATGTGTTCACATATACCAACTTTGTAATGTCAACTAAACATCCATTATAAACATGTTTTCAAAGAGTTCACATCATATCGGAATTTACTACATAAAGATGAGAAAGGAGTGGGTCGGATTATCTACTAGTTATGTTAGGTTTAACTTGACATATAAACAGATTTTATCATTTTTTTGATTTAAAATATAAAATTACTAATATAGCCATATTCACTAATGACTTTTTTATTTTTAGCCAAAATTTAAGACTTAGCCCATAATAGCTATGAAAACAATAGGCCAAAAAAATCATCTACTCTTTCGTTTAAATGATCTACGGTTTCGGGTATATATTTAATGATTTTTTTTTTCATTTTTGCAAAGCAAAACCGTAGGCAAAACAAAACCATAGACCACTAACCACTTTATGGTCTACGTTTTCCTCTGATTGGTATATGGTTTCCCACACCGTAGACCATAAATGGTTTACTGTTTGGGCTTACATAAAAATTCAAAAAAAAAAAAAAAAAAAAAAAAAACCGAAAACCGTAGGTTCTTACGAAACCTATGGGTTTTTTTTTCTGTAACAAAAAAACAAAATTTCATTATATATGACATTTTATACGAGCTACAAAAAAAATTACGAAAACCGTAGGTCCAAAAAAAACCTACGGTGTACAAGTATGTAATGCACGTTTGTGCATTGAACACTTGCACACTGTAGGTTTCTTAGGAACCTACGGATTTTTTTTTCAAAAAAAATATATATATATATATATCTACTAATTCTCATACTAAACAAGAAAAACAAAAAAAAAATTGAAAATTCGAAGACACACCCGGTTGTTTGTTCTTTGAAGGATCCATTGAGAATTCCAAACTTCAAACACATACAAAATGAGCAAAAATGAAAATGACAACTTTATATATTCTGGGCTAACGTGCCCACCAAATAGTAGTCAAATGTCCCTAAAGAGTAGTGAACGAAGCGTTGACCGTAGACAAATTAATGGTCTGCGGTTTTAATGGTTAGTTTAGGATAAATTCAAATTTTTGGCTAAAAACTAATAAGTGATTAAGGATTTTGGTAGTTTAACTTTGCTTTTTTTATTTTTTAAATGAAATAGGTATTTGTTTGTATGTATATATATATTTGGAAAGCATTTTTGCATGTAACATACTTATATATGTAAGTTTTTATAGCTTATTCGCGTGTGTGATATGTGTATTCACGTTTGTGTCATGGGTCAGTGAGAGACATGCTTTTAATTTTCAGATTCAGAGTGTAAGTAGTGGGTTTGAACCTGTTAAGGGAGGAGGGAGTCATTCTCTCCCAACCCACTGTCACATCATTTTTTTCTCTTTTATTTTTCTTCATCTTTCTCAACCCACAACACACGGAAACCCTATCTTTTTTAACCCACTCAACCCACTCAATTAAAAAAAATAGAAAACAATCAAAAGGTAAAATCTTAATTAGCAATAGAGTTACCGACGGTACCATTCCCGCTTCAACGGGTTGGTTAATTGGTTTCACTAACCCACTTCATCATCTCTCTCTATTTTCTCTCTCTCATTTTCTCTTGTACCGTGTGTTTTAAAACTTGTACCTTAGTTGTTTTGTATTTTTTTAATTGAGTGGGTTGAGTGGGTTGAGAAAGATAGGATTTCCGTGTGTTGTGGGTTGGAAAAGATGAAGAAAAATAAAAGAGAAAAAGTGATGTGACAGTGGGTTCAGTGGGTTGGGAGGGAACGACTCCCTCCTCCCTAAGGGAGGAGGGAGTTGCTCCCTCCCAACCCACCGAACCCAATGAACCCACTGCCACATCAGCTTTTCTCTTTGATTTTTATTCATCTTTCCCAACCCACAACATACGGAAATCCTATCTCTCTCAACCCACTCAACCCACTCAATTAAAAAAAATGCTAAACAACTAAGGTACAAATCTTAAAACACACGGCACAAGAGAAAATGAGAGAGGGAAAGTAGAGAGAGAGAGGATGAAGTGGGTTCGTGAAACCAATTAAACAACCGGCTAAAGAGGGAGTGGTACCGGCGATAACTCTATTGCTAATTAAGATTTTACCTTGATTATTTTGTATTTTTTTTTAATTGAGTGGGTTGAAAAAGATAGGATTTCCGTGTGTTGTGGGTTGGGAAAGTTGAAGAAAAATCAAAGATAAAAGTTGATGTGGCAATGGGTTCATTGGGTTCGGTGAGTTGGGAGGGAACGGCTCCCTCCTCCCTAAAGGGCGTTATTGCCTACGTTGAGGCACCTCAACACCGGTATAACGCCACCAACACCGCCCCAACTGGCGTCAAGGTAAGCGACATTGTGATGATAATGGGAGCCAAAACATTTCTTTTTTCTTTTTTGACCGTTTGTGACCATTGTCGAATGGTCAAATTCAAAAATAAAAAAATAATTTTTTTTTACCTATTAATTTCTTCTATATAAATACACAACTTGAGAACATTTTATCTACACCATTCTTTTCTTTCTTTCAATATTTACAAAAATCAATTCCCTTCTCAACCACATTACGGAGCAAAACCCAAACATCTCTCCACCAAACACAAACCACAAACAAAGTGTTTGAAAAAAATAACAGTCAAAAATCATAAAACCTTACAAAAACATATGCAATCCCTAAGGTAATTTTGGCATGTGTATAATAATTTGTGAAAGTAACCAACTTTTACAATTCTACACATTTATTATTTTTTATACCACGTTTCACTAATAAACTTATATAAAGTGTTCAAAAAACCATTAAGACCATCAAATATAAGTTTTCCCAATTTCATTTAATCACTTTCATTTTTTTGTACACATCTAACAAATAAACTTATATAAAATAACCAGCAATAAATTGTCTTCATAAGAAATTAAATGAATGTACAATGTTGATGCTATAATACACAAATAAATGAAAGTATGTTGCTTTTTTTTTTGCATTTTTCAGGTTAACTAAACTCAAAATCAAAATTTCCAGCCAAAAAATTGTGCACCCGATTACCAATAGTGATTGAACTCAATCCTGCAGTCTTAACAATCCCCGAATCATTCATCATTGCTCTCCAACGATCCGCTTCATGCCAACATTCACATGATGCATACAAATTAGACACCATCATGTAATCCCCATCATTTAAACCATTATCACCATAACTTTGCAACAATATTTTCACTACTTTTTCCCCAATCACAACATCTCTATGATTCACACAAGCACCAAGCAATGCACCCAAAATTGACTTCCCTGGTCTAAATGGCATTTCATCGATCACCTTATATGCATGTTCAAGACACCCAGCTCTACCCAAAAGATCAACCAAGCACCCGTAATGCTCTATTTTAGGAGTCACGTTGTATTTGATTTCCATGGAATTGAAAAGGGTTTGACCCTCTTTGACTAGGCCTGAATGGCTGCACGCGTTAAGTAAAGCTATGAAGGTTACATCGTCTGGTTTTGTTCTTTGAAGCATTTCATCGAACACCTTGAGGGCGATGACACCATAGCCATGGATAGCAAGACCTGATAACAAGGCGTTCCAACAGAAAACATCTCGAACTTGAGATTTGCAGAAGACGATTAGAAAGGATTCTAGACATCCGCATTTGGCGTACATGTCTATTAGGGAAGTGGTTACGTGCATACTTGATGTTAGTCGTTTTTCCAGGGCGTAGATGTGGATTTCGCGCCCTTTTTCTAGTGACCCCAAATCAGCGCAAGCAGATAAAGCTGTTGTTACAGTGAGATAATCTGGGGGGATGATATCTTCGTCTTTCATTTTGTAGAAAAGCAGAATAACTTCGTCAGACATCTTATTGTTGAGATAAGCTCCAAGTAATGTGTTCCATGAAATGACGTCTCGTTCAGGCATTTCATCGAACACCCTACGTGCTTCTTCCATGTCTCCGTAATTCCCACATGCTAGAATCATGGAGTTCCACGAGATGAGATTTTTTACAGGGATTTCATCAAATACAGCTTTTGCCGAATCCATATTACCAAGGTTCGCATACCCAGACAGCATAATGTTGAGTGAAAAAAGGTCTCTTTTAGGCATGAATCTAAAAAGCTTCAATGCAAAATCCAAATTCCCAGATGAAACATACGCATCCAACATCGAGTTCCAAGCAACCGTATCTTTCGATTCCATACTATCAAACACCTTACGAGCTTCATCTGTTCTTTGAATCGATGAGTACATGTTGAGAAGAGAAGTTTGGACCAACATATGGTTGTCAAAGGGCGTTTTTGCTATCTGGGCATGGAGAGCTAAACCGAGTCTTGGATTCGAAAGATTAGAAGCTGCTTTGAGTAACACAGGAAATGTGAAGTTATCTGGGGTGAAGATACCTGTTTGTTGCATCTGTTGGTATGTGAGAAAAGCTCCCTTGGTGTTCCCTTCGATTACTTGTCTCTTGATGATCTTGTTCCATGTCCTTAGGTCAATCTGGTCAGGAGAAGGTGGAACCCAGCATTGCAATTGGAGAGCCATTCATCTATGTAATAAGAAATTCGACAACGAAAATGTAGACGCTAGAATTATCAAGATAAACAGTGAACAAGGAATGAAGGAATGGATTGAAGCCGAAGACAAAAATCATTATCCATAAACGGACCATTTGTACATTTATATATATCTCACTAATTTTTACATGTACATGTTAACGTAGAGCATAAAGTTTTATAAATGATATCTACATTTAAAGCTAAAACTTTATACATGAATTCTTGTCTTATTGTTGGTGATTTTAACTCCATGCATTTTGGGTAAGCAATTAATTTGTTCTTTAACAGTTTTTTTTTCATTTAAAAGTTTTCTTTTTCATACATAGTAATTTATATTTTATAGAGTTGTACGATATAATATTTTAAAACAAAAATTATTGTGTATAAAAACACCGTTGGATAATTCGAATACAAAAATGGTTTAACGAACAATAACAAAATTCTGAATTTCATAAAATGGGATACAATATGGGCAACCAAGATTGTTTCCAAATAATGCATCTAGTTTATATAAAATAGAGAAACAGAAAGGAAGAAACAAAAGTACAAAACTTTTGATTGCCGTATATGATCTACTACATTTAAATATTAAATGTGAATGAATGTTTGAGTACAAAATAATAATAATAATAATAATAATAATAATAATAATAATAATAAATAAATAAATAAAATTATGTGAATGAATGGGAAAACATGTATATTCAATAAAGTTGAAAATAAAAAAGATTGGAAGTAAACACATGCACAATGTATGAAAACACAAATAATATGAGTAATCGGTGAATAAAGAGAACAATAATCAAACTTAAAGGACTACAATCATAGACACAAATAGAAGTCAACGTTGAAGGAAAGCAAATACCAACAATACTCGTATGCTATTATACTATCATGATTATATGTTGTTCGAGTAAATTACACGAATCATCCCTCATGCAGGTGCCAAAAGGCACGTCTGGTCCCTATTTTTAAAAATTAACTTGGATCATCCCTCGTTTGGTTTAAACTTGCACGTTTCATTCCTCCTTAGTTTAAATATACATAATTAATCCTTTACCATACATAAAAAGACTATATCACCCTTACTAGTTCATTTTGTATTTATAAAAAAGGGAAAATAAATTCTAACCCTTACTTTCATATTTATTTATATCTTTTAAACAATTAAACATATAAACTCTACCCAACCCCACCCATTTACCATGAACTCGTACAACTACCCTAACTCCTCCCTTCTCGTTTCTCCACCTTCTCACCTCTCCCTTGATGTCAAAATATGGCCACCGGAAGTCTTTGCCTCCAATCCACCACCGTCCTCCCCGCAAGCCACTAACTTCTTCTACAGGTTTCAGGCGAGGGTTTCTATCTCATAATAATGGTTATTTGCGCCGCTGAACTTCGCCATCACCACATTTGAACCTGACGTCGATGGCTACTCCTTCTGGCGAACCTTTGCTTTTCATCCATCACTGTCTCCAGCCCACTCTCTCACATTCTCACTCACAAATCTGCTCAATTTATACAAAATCGTCGCTCGATTTGTGGTTCGATTTTCAGATTTATGGTTTTTCAGGTTTCAAGTTTCTTCTTTTCAGGTTTGATTTGGTTTGGTTTAGTGTTGATTATAGGCAGTTTTCGGAAGTAGAGCATGGTCGTTTTCATGGAGGGCAGAAGGAAAAAGGGAAAATGAAGGGGGGGAGGTGGGTAGGGTGTGGTGAGTGAGGGTTTGATGGCGTCGTCGGAGGTGTGTTAGAGTGGCCGAAGTTGTATTGGTGTCATCGGAGTATTGGGGTCGGCCGATGTGGGTGGTAACGGTAGATCGGAGATGTACCGAAGAAGAAAGAGGGGGGGGGGGGTAAAGACGAGCTATTGCTTAGGGTTTGGGCCCATTTATTTTTTATAAAGCAATAATAATTAATTTTCATAATACATAAATCAATAATTAATAAATAAATAGAAAATAAATCAAAAAAGAAATAAATAAGGGTAAAATGGTCATTTTATGTCCAAAGGGATGAAGCGTGTAAATTTTAAATTAATGAGGTATGGTCCAAGTTGATTTTTGAAAATAGGGACTAAACGTGTATTTTGACACCTGCACGAGGGACGATTCGTGTAATTTACTCATGTTGTTCTATTTGAGGTCATGTAATGTCTTTAAAAAGAGTCGCCTCCTTCAAACCTAACTCACATTATCTTCTCATTTCCTCACCCCAAAATCTACTTCGGCCACACTATTCTAAGATCAATCAACATTCTTGAAAAAAAAAGAGTAAGAGTAAATTACACGAATGATCCCTATGGTTTAGGGTAATTTGCACATTTGGTCCCTAACTTATTTTTTTAACTCGGAAGGTCCCTATTGTTTGTTTTTGTTACGCGCTTGGTCCCTACTGTTTGTTTTTGTTACGCGTTTGGTCCCTGTCTTAACTAAAAAAACTATTATTTAAATAGGGAAAAATGATGGGGTATGTAAGGTAAGGTGAGGGGGTGGGGGTGGGGGTGTGTTTATTTAAATAAATTAAAAAATTAAGGGCAAAATTAGGTAAGACATGGACCAAACATGTAACAAAAACAAATTGTAGGGACCTTCCGAGTTAAAAAAATAAGTTAGAGACAAAATGCTTAATTACCCTAAACCATAGGGACCATTCGTGTAATTTACTCAAAGAGTAAATATTACAAAAAACATTAAGTTTAAATCAAAATTCTAATTTGACACAGTGTTTTTTTTATCTCAAATTTGACACTGTGTTTTTCAATTTTTTAAAATTCTCACTTAACCGGTCAACCCGGTTACATGCTAACGTGACATGATAACGTGTTAGCTTTGATGACGTGGCATGCTGACGTGTCAAAATTGAATTTTTTTCTACAAAACACATTAAGTTTTCATTTTTTTCGATTTTGACACTAAGTTAAAAAAAAAATTCAATTTAGACACTCTGTTTTTTTTGTTCCAAATCAAACATCATTTTTTTAATTTTGTTCAATGTTGACCATTTTTCATTTGAAACATTTTAAACCGTATAAATATATTTTTTTTCATTTAAAAACTCTATTTTTGTATAAATACAAGGTTTTTTTTTACATTCAAACCATAATTTTATGTATAAATATGCATTAGTTATATAATGAGAACAAAAATAGCCATAAGCTTCAAATAAGATCAACAAAATTTTATCATTTATCGCTTATGAAATATTATTTATTTTATTTTTTGTTGAAGATTTTACACATATTTTTATTCATAGTTCAATAATTTTATTTGGTATATATTGATATCTAACGTTCATTTGAAGCATTGAAGAAGAGGTGAGTAATATAGAACAAAATACCAAAATTTAATGAGAATATTAAATAGATGAAATAATGACGATATTTATCCTTCATAAATATTTTTGAAAAAAAAAGAGCTAAAAATATATGATTTAATGAGAGCCATACCATGAGATTCAAGATGTTCATAATAATATTACGAATAAGATATGAGTCATGAGATGTAAAAATTATCATGTTGCAAACTTGACCTCTGGGCCTTGACCGACTACATGCCTCCAAACCTCCAAATTCATTTTAAAGTTGCGTATTTAATATAAAATACGGTTTTTATATAACTAATACATATTTATATATAAAATTATGGTTTGAATGTAAAAAAAACCTTGTATTTATACAAAAATATGGTTTTTAAATGAAAAAAATATATTTATACGGTTTAAAATGTATTTAAAAAATATTTATATGATTTCAAATGGAAAATGGTAACATTAAACAAAATTGGAAAAAAAATGATGTTTGATTTGAAATAAAAAAACAGAGTGTCAAAATTGAAAAAAAAAATTAAACTTAGTGTCAAAATCGAAAAAAAAAATGAAAACTTAATATCTTTTGTGGAAAAAAAATTCAGTTTTGACACGTCAGCAGATAACCAGGTTGACCGGTCAAGTTGTCAGAATTATAAAAAATTAGAAAACAGAATGTCAAAATTTGAGACAAAAAAAAACAAAGTGTCAAAATTGTAAAAAATTAGAAAACAGAATGTCAAATTTGAGACAAAAAAAAAAAACAAAGTGTCAAATTAGAATTTTGGTATAAACTTAATGTCTTTTGTACTATTTACCAAAAAAAAAACAACGGCTCCATAATTTGCTTCTAAGACTAACCTATCCCAAGAGATGATTTAGACGATGTTTAAACTATTGTCAACCATGAACTCTCGTTTTTATGCATATCTTTTTTGGTCGAACCGTATTAATAATTTATAGTTTACTGATTTTATTAGTAATCTCATGCTCTCTAGTTCTCATATTCCATAACAAAATCCATTACACAGTATAATCATTGACTTTTAGTTTCATGCTTAAACTTGAAGTTGTTTTAATTGGATTATCTCCGAATAGATTTCGTGACACCCACATAATTAAGGATCGAAATACTACTTGCAAAGTCTAACACAATCCGGTTTGATAAGTAATTGGATGTTGCAAACTACTTACTATAACTTGTTTATTTTTGAAGGGAAGGTGATCAAAAGCAAAAGCCTCAATCATGGAATAATTTTCTTTTATTTGAAATAATTTATACTTAGAAACTATTTTCTTCACAATTTTTTTGAGATTATCTACAACAATCTCAACAATAAAGATAACAAACAAACAAACAAAGAACAATGACAACTTTGGGACCGTTGTAAATAATAAATTTGTCTCCACATGTTTGTAAACAATAAATTTGTCTCCACATGTTTGCTCCAACAGTAAGAAGATAAGAATCTATAAGTCGGATCTCATATTTATAGTAGTTCCTTTAACAAAAAATGAAAGGGAAAATGACTTAAAAAGGTAACAAAGTTTCAGAAATATACAAAAAGACCATTGTTTTTTTTAGTACACAAAATACCATTTTACCGGCTATTGTAGGTTACCCGGTTTCCAAATGTTCAAAAAATATCATTGTTTTTTTAGTACAAAAAATATCATT